TAATGAACACATCACACATAATTACGTACTGTTATAAACCAATGTAAGCCTTAGCAACATTTTGTTAAAAATTACAATTTAAGCGGATCTAAAAATATTCATCAGAGCCTGGCAAGCTCCTGTGGTATATTCTATATACCAAAAACTGTAACAATGATGTGTCTCATTCCCCTGACCCTGAAATAGCCTCTAATGCGGCATCATTGGGAAAGACGAGTAAGGAGAGGCTGCTAAAATCTCAGGGCTAGGACGAATGCAGATGTTACTGGTGCCTACTCAAGCAAATCAATAAATAATGGGATGACATTAATACAGTGATACAGCGAAAAATATTCAAGATGGTCAAAATTCTGAGCTTCCCTGCTACTATGAGTATTTCCGCTCAATAAAGTAGAATGAGAGAGGAGCTGCAAGTTCTGTTCTTGGAAAGTGTCCTTGTATTCTGGAGGATTTATCCTGAAAATGTTTCACTTGACTGTCCTTGAGGCTTCTACAAACTAAACTCAGAGTAGCAGATAATTTAACAATAAAATTTTGCACCAAAAATACAGGTCTCTAATGCCCAATACCCAATCCAAGACCCAGGCCTGGAAATGTGAGTCCTGGATGCCAAAGGGCAATCTAAATAAGGCCAGGCATCATGAATTAGCTGAAGTGTGACACTCATTCTGATCTGTGCTGACCCAAGTAGGCTAATTCACACCTGGGGGTCCCTGGAAGGAGAACAATAAAAGCTAAAACTGTACCTGGGTAAATAAAACTCAGATGATATATAAAAATAGAGGAAAGTAAAAAGATGACATCATTGTGAAGGCAAAAAAGATACTACTTAAATAATAAGAGAGCCTGATGGTGCTAGGCAAAGAGGACATTTAGAATATCTACTGTTATGTTTATCTTTTACAAATATTCTTGGTAACTTCAAAATATCTGTAATGGATACTGTGCCACCAGTAGTGACATTCATTCTTTGGTTGCTACTGTTTTTCAAAGCTCATTCAGTAACTTGTGTGAAGGGAAGTAAATTGTTATCTGCTCTTGGGCACACTTCATGGTTTGAAGGACTGTCGAAGACATTATGGGGATTTGTCTGAATGTTACACTAGGACACACTCAATGGCTACAGCCATCCTGAAGTCATGGGCCATCAGTCACTGAAAGTTTCTTTCTGGAGTAAAGGAAGACTGTTGGACTGCCACACCCCATTGACTTTCTTGTGTTCTTCAAATCCTTCCTTCTTCTCAATCCATTCTTACTCACCTCCTAAAAGGCTATGTGTTTATAATTAGTCTTTCTTTCCTGTGTCTTCATCCTTATATAGATCTCTCTGTTGGGTTTTTGGTGGGAAAGCTCAATCTCAGGTGGTATTGTCTTAAAAACATATCCCCCCAAATGTTTTAAAGAAGCACACTCATTTTCTGCTACGCAAAAGCACTGGGAAAATAGCCTCAAAACCCTACCTTCTGATGAAAAACACTGCTGGAAACGGTATCAGCCATGTTTTAAACTCTTTCTTCACCTGATACTTTGAGAACAGTATTTCTCAGAGCACAGATGTTACGAGAACAGGAGGGAAATAAAAAGAATTCCATGATCAAATAAGTCTGGGAAATGCTGGATTAAATAAAATTGGAGAGCTTTCCTTCTTATATGACTTTTTAGAGCCTTTGATCTGCTAATTACACCAAGACTCTCCACTATCAAGTTATAATATGCAGCCCTTTCCCAAAATTCTTTGTGCACCCAAACTTGGTTTAAAGCTTTCCTCATGAGACTAATGTTCCAAAACTTACTTTGGGAAATGCTAGTCTAGACTTATAGCCCTTGGATCCAGTTTCTCTCAAGGAGAAAGCACATTCATAGTGAAGGAGAGAAGGACAGAGAAGAAATGGAAAAAGAATCTAATTCTGTAAGTACCTGGCAGAACTTAAATTGAATTTCCTATGGAAGAATGTATTTCTCTGGAAAGGCAAGAAAGTTATTTCATTTTTCTCTAAATTTATTCATTTTTATGTGTTATGATCTCTTAATAAAGCTCAAGTGAATGTCAACATTTTTCAGTCCTGCTTCCAGAAAACAGAGTTGGTCAATCTTGGGTCACAGAAAAGTTAAGATTGTAAGGAACATGGGAAGTAAATTAGGAATCCCTAGAAGAGACCTATCTCCACAGAGACGGTTCAATTAACATGAGCATATAATACACAGTGAGTTTAAATCACATCAAAATCAGTCCATTATTCACTGTGAATGTGAATCACTGGTGATGTAAGATATACTTTATTATGAGAAAAAGCTTCATTTCATAATTTTAGTATACACAGCTACACAACTATGTGTAGAAGTTTAATCAACTGAGAATGACTTCTCAGCTTGCTGATGACTATTCATAAGGGGATTTAGATATAGAACAGTGAAAATATTTTATATGAGTTATTACAAATAGTAAATCTCAGCTTGTATAAAGGGGAGGCCATTGCTGTCCTCTAGGATCATCATCTAAGCTTGAGACATCTGGTCAACATGTCAAGGTTCTTCTACACTAACAGAAGGACTACAGCAGAGGCATTATATGTGGTGATTCTACTTTAAAATCCCAGACTAATATCCTGGCCAAAAGTTACACTTTCAATAGAAAACCCCATTGTAGATTTTCCAATTTATGGGTCTCTAACTGAGGTCTAATCACTTTTGCTGCTTTATTCTAAATAAAATGATCCCCCAAAATAACTGAAGACATCAAATAATCTCCATGCTTTGTCCTAGGACTAAGCAGTAAACACTCTGACGATGGAGAGATGTTCTTCTGTATTGCTACTAAGCCTGTATTCAAACTGAGTATTGTGACTGTTCTGAAATGTGTGCTTCATGCATAAATTGAAGGACAAATAACCAGCAGTAAGTTTTCTCCCATCTTTTTAGTTTTTAGTTTTCATCTGTAGAAGAGGATGAAGCTACATACCTCTCAGTCAATGGACTATCTAGAGGGGTCCCAGAGATGAAGAATGATAATATTCATCTACCTATAGATGAAGGATAATATTTATCTATCTCTGATAATGATAGGACCACACCATCTTCTTAACAGTAGCGATGAGAAAGGTATATCTGAGTCAGAAACTTTGAGGAATGCTAATTCTTGTGGGAAGGTCTCTGTCTCTGAACAATGATTCAGTCCTATGAAATCCTTTGGTGTTGAAAGACAGATCTGAGAGTATAACTAAGTAGTCAGGCACTATAATTTGTGATTAGAGACCTTGGGAAACATAGCAGGAAGCTCTCATTAGTAAGAAATATCATTCAGAGTGTAGGTAAATTGGATCTGGTGCCCCATTTCTAGCAGGAAATTCTGCCATATGTGTCTATATGAAAGAAGTCCTTGAATAACTTGTTCCTCCAATCTGGTTCCAAATTCTTTTTCTAACCCTTCTTTGTTCTTATTTCTATCACTAATGCAGAAAACCCAGGGTGGGACAGCACCAATAAAATCTCAGACTCGGGGAGCATGGGCACTGTGCCAAAGGGCAGGAATTCTAAGCAAAAAATAAAAACACTTAGCTAGCTGGATGCCAGGTTTACCAGGACAGTGAATGTGGGGAGGTGGTGGTGGTGGGGAGGGATGAGAACTGAAAACATAAAACCAGAACAAATCAAAACCATAGATGTACAGATAATGATATAAAATGATTTCCTCCACTATGTCAAAATTTAAATTGAGAACCATTTTTAAGAGATAATATTTTGCACTGGCTCTGTCAGTACTTGGCTTCAGATATTGAGGTGGCCTCCAATATGACCACCTGCAGTGTTGGATCAAGTCTTTTGGTCAAATAATTCCCAGTACAAAAGTAGAGCCAGACTGAAGACAAGAGCTAAGGAGCTCCTGGCTGAAGAGATCTTACTACACAGCTCCAGGAAGCACTTACTAGGTTATGTACTCTATAAAAGCACCATCCTCTCTTGGGAGTTATACTCCTAGTAAATATTTTGGAGACTTAGAATCTGACTTTATCCATTGTGATTCAAGTAACATGAGGTAAGAAAGAAACACTCATGTTCAAAATCTTCTAAAGACCTAATGAGCAAACAGCCCTCATCCAGCAAAGTTAACTACTCTTCTACAGAGATTTCAACGAGCCTCCCACATCCCTTATTATATACGAAAATATATAACGAGGACAATTATATTTATTATATCCCATTATCTACAACCTCATCCATCTTTAAATGAATTTATGGTATATGTTACACTAACTTCATACATACATGCACAGCACAAAGGGCCCTAGTACAACAAAGAAAGGAATACAGTTATATCAAGTATATTATCTTATGAGTTTGAAAGTTATTTCATAATTCTTATGAACATTCAGGACTTTTACTACTAAACACTATATATATATAGTTCTTGCATTTTGTGGATGAACACAACAAATATTGTAGGAGGCCTTTTTTGGTCAATTTATTTTTTTGCTTGCCTTACTTAGTCAAGGGAGAGGATAGGTTCCAAATCAAATAAATCAGCCTCTTGACTTCACTGGCTAAAATGCAAGCAAAACTGATTTTTCTTCATGTTGTTTTACCCCACTGCTAATTTGCATCACTAAGGAATTTTCTAGGAAAGTGCTCAGCAAACTGAAGACTTCTCTGGTTGCCAAGCTCATGGAAACAAAGTGCTTTCTCTTAAAACTCTGAAAGAGACATTCCAAAGTAACCCACCATTAGATTCCGAGCCAGGAACAGACTACATATCTATGAAAGAAGAAAAGAAGGGAGGAAAGAAAATGCATAACATAAACAAGAACAGACAAAACCTTAAAGAGGAAGGAGAAAGGAAAACATTTAGATTCCTTGAGTGATGGAAATAAATACCAAAGCTATTAGTTTCAGTTCAAAGAATGTATCACTTTATGCTGTTTATTATTTCTTGAGAATTATTTATTTTATCTTAAAATATCCAAAGGGTAAAAGGGGTCCTGGAGGTAAGCAGCAATGAAACTGACCTGGTCAGGAGAGGGCCTAAGATTGGAATGTTGCGACCTCCCAGGAGATCGGTGGTGGTGGTGATGGTGGTGGTGGTGGTAGTGATGGTGGTCCTCATCATAGTTGTCTGCCATCAGCTTCATTCTGTTCTGGGTCTGCACAGAACAAAAACCAAGGAAGATCTCATCAGGGGTTAGAAGACCAGCCAAAGAGACTCAGGGCATAATTATAGTAACTATAGGACTTTCTTTGTTTATAACTTAGATGTTTTCATTTTGGTCAAATTAGAAATTAATGAAGTTAAAATCATGCCATTGGCTTTGGTGGAAAAGGATTTGCCACATCCTTAAAGTGATTGCATTCTTGGATCTACATTTGTTGATGTAAGTGTGCTTCCCCCAGTATTATTTGAAAGGGGGGAGGGTTAGACATATTTCAGTTGCTTTGTTTTATGTTACCAGGTAATCACTGAGATTAAGAGTAAGCTGGCAATCACAAACTGTGGACAATCACATCAACGTTCTAGAGCAAGCAAGATAAGGGAGCACTGGATAGCAGGTGTAACACAGAGCCACAGACAAACAATGGCCTAAAAATACAAGAAAAAAACAAAAAACACCGAAGCTGTTAAATGCAAAAAATACCAGTACAGATGGCTCCCTGGAAAGGAATATTGTTCTTTGGGAAATTAAGCAAATGGAGAAAAGTTGAATGGAAACGAGCTGAACACTCTGATTCATTCCCCAGTGTTTATCAGATGTCATGACTCGGTCTCAGAGTTAATAGATCCCTCCCCACCCACCTTCTACTCTACTCAATCCAAAGAATCTTAGTGTTTTATTATGCAGGACAAGAAACAGACCAGGAAAGAACTGACCACTGACATCACAGAATCTAGAAAATGCTTAAAGATCATGGATAAAAGCAGATAGATAAGCAGATAGATAAGCAGATAGATTGTCTAGAATCAAGTCCTGCTTCACCTCCACATGCTATGTGTTTTAAGAGTTTACAATTTCTAAGTCCCTTTTTTTTTCAGTTGTCAAATATCACCTTCGATGCTCTATGAGATACAAGTGATATGGACTTTGAGTGTCAATTAAGTAATGGAATATAATGAGCTTGTAATAAAAGTTAAATCCTGGGAGAACAGAGTGGGACTATAGCAAGTAGGGTGGTTGACCTAGGTTTGATATTCAGCATCCCTTGTGGTCCTCTGAGCACCACCAGGAGTGATTTCTGAGCACAGAGCTAAGAGTATCCCTCGAACATTGCCAAAAGTAAAATTCTGGTACCTGGAGATAGCTCAAAGGGCTGGAATATATGTCTTCTGTGTGAGGCCCAAAGTTAAACCCTTGGCACTACACGACCCAGTGCAATGAGGACATTGAACCACCAGGCCTGCTTGGCTGAATATTGCTTATGAGAGGCCCCTTAACACATCCAGCTTGCTTGCTTCCACCTGCCTACTCCCCACTAATAAAAGTCAAGTGTTGTAAGTATAATGGCTGCTGCTGTTTGCTGTCCCTTCTCCTTCTTAATACACGTCACTTCTGGTGCTTGGGATACCTTCTCCAGTGTCTTCTCTCACTGCCAACTTCTGTATCTGTGTAAATCACATGGAACCACTGTGAGGTTCTGTGGACCTTCAGCTTTTCACAGCTCAAATCATAGAGTTGTCTGTGGTAAACTTGCACCTCTTTCTTTCATCTGCCTTTTCTCGGAATCTAAAGTAGAAGCTCCGGAACTTAACTGGCCTATTGCCCCCTGCCCCCACTACAAAAAAGAAAAAATAAAAAGAAAAAAAATAATAAAAAGGTAACCACTTATTTCCTCCCCCCAACTGAAAACTCTGTGTTTTTAAGCAAAGAAACAGAAAAGTGTTGTTCCCCGCCTTCCCCCCCAAACCCCCTCCCCCCCACACTGCCACACAAATACACATACCAGCACCTAAAGCCTCTACATCACTACTCCACTATCACCTTCCTGGATCATTCCAGTCACACACACACACACACACACACACACACACTGCCCTTCCTGCCTCCACACACACATACATACACATAAGGTGGAGACTAGGATGGTATGATGGTCCACACTGGGAAATACTAACCCAGAGGATATAAGGGAATCCTGTGCTTGTTGCTGCGATAAGTGACAAAAGGGGACGTGAAGATGAAGGATGCTGCCATCCTCTCAGGTGAGCTGCAGAGCTGTTCTCGGTCAGAAAAGGTCACTTAGAGTTGAAAAGGTCTCTGGAGTTGCTGTAACCATCCCAAGAGTGGCTGAGGATGACAAGGAGCCCTCAACACGGGGGGAGAGGTGCAAGTCAGAGGCTGTCAGAGCCTCCAGCCAGTTGGAATTTTATTATGTGACATAAATAATATTCTGATGGAAAAGAGAGAATTCTGGGCCTTGTGATGTGTATTCTTATATATTTTTTATACACAATCTATACTACCCTCAAAACCTTCCTAGGAGAAATCACCATTCTCATTTGCAGCTAGAAAAATTAAGGCATAGATTTCAGCCCCCAGAGTCTCTTTTCTTGCACAGAACCTGGAAGTTTCCCAAACTTCCCAATTCTCAATCTCTAGGCTTTCCTCTTCACCGTGGCATCAGCCAAAAAGGCAAACAGCTAAACAGGTAGAAACAGCTTTCTCATAAAAGCCTTAGCTCTGTTAAGTTTTGGAAACACCTCACGTCCCACTTCTACCTGCCAAAGGATGTCTCCTGATTTACTCACTCTAGTTTTATAAATGTGTACAATATTTGAGAGGCCCCAGAGTGGATATAAAAATGCATGCATATGGATAAAAACAATAAAAATAGAGGCAAAGATCCGCCTAAAAATTAAATAAAAATATCCCAGGCAACCTTTGGCAGCTGATAGCATTTCCATCCTTCACTTGTCCACTTAAAGTGTCAGAAGACCCAATGGACAAGTTATGTCTTGTGAGAAAGAGCAGGACCAAGGAGCTGTTGCCGATCAAGTACTGAGTTCCCCCTAATTTTGGGGGCCCTTGCACATGAGATTCTGAAATTCAGGGTTCACACCTAAAATTCCAGTATTGTCAGGAGCCTGTACTCCTGAACTCATGAACTAATAAATCTGGAATTGTTTCTTCTAATAGAATTCTGAGAGCCTGGAGGGAGCTGTTAGCTCTGCTATGGTCAAGATGGAAGAGACTTGCCCAAGAATGAACGATGGGACCTAATGAACAAATAATAACTCTGCTATTGTAAACATCATAATGTCCTTATCCTTTGGGGAAGCTCCTGTGATTTCATGAGATTATTTTCTTACCAGCGACAAGCCTAAAGTTTCCTACCTTTGAACTATATCCCATAAAAGAATGTACAAGCTAAACAAGATGCTGTATGCAGTCCTAAATGTGTCTGCTGAAATGAGGTGTTGGAGAGTAGGCATGTCATGGGATAAAGACTGTAAATGAATGATGTCATCTTTCCAATTTGGTGCTGAAATATAAATAAACCACGTTGTTCATGTGAATACCAGATCTGGGGGAAATGTACACAGAGCAATTGTGAGCGGAAGAGGCTTCTTTTGATTAGTCTGGGCTGGAAGAGGAGAGTGTGAAATGGAGATGAAAAATGAGAGTTTGGCCTGATATTCTAGACCATTTTTATTTATCTTGCTTGTAACATATCCCCTAAACTGTGACCGATTTCTTACAGGCTGGTTGCTAGTACTCCCTTCTATAAGAAAAAAAAAATTAACTAACTATGCTCACTTAATTGTCAAATAGAAAATGGATCTTTCTTTTTCAACTGGGACTACCTAACCTCATCTCTTCCCAGATATATTGGCTTCTTAACATACTGAAAATCATCTGGAAGGATAAGAAGCCACGAATAACACTCCCTAAAGGTCGATGAAAGAAAAACTGCAGAAAATTGAAACAAGACTTGGAACAAGGAAACCATTTGTACCAATAACTCCAGACACATTTACCAGGTGATTCTCTGTGTAATGATTCATATCCCTGCAACCATCAGATGTAAGAGATGCCCACCAGAGTCTGAAACAGCAAATCTTCTGGGCTGTCATAACTGAAATCCCAGGAAAACCTATATAGAGTTGGAGAGGAAGAGCTTTCTCTGGCCCTGAGCTTGTGAGCTCACCGACTCATTTAGCAGTTCACTGAAGCCCATTTTTATTTCCTTTCCATTGTCTACTAAACTGCTGACCTGACATTTCTGCCTTTGGCTGTGTTGTATTAGTTTTACTCTATTATGTCATGACTGCTGAGACAAATCTAATCAGATTTCATTTTCTACTTCCTCCTCCTTCCAGGCACCGCCTTATTTCTCTAGGGCAATAGCCTCCTAAAGGGCTCTCCCCTTGCACTCTTGCCTCCCATTGAACAAAATCCACAGCCAGAGTGACATCAGACCCTCGCTGCTCCTCCTGAGTTCAAGCGCTTTAGAGGTTCCTGGTCATCCTCAGAAAACAGAGCCCTAATTCCTCCACAGCTGAGACTCTTGAGAGTCACCAGCCAGTCTCACCTCTTGTCATCACTCTCCAGCCCTGGGACATATCATGACCTGCATGTGTTACACCTTTACTTGAGTTAAACCCATTAGTTCTTTTGGTCTTAGTTTCAACACCATCAGCTTCAGAAATTAATTCTCTAAATTCACTCATTACTTCACTTACAATTACAGTTTTTTACTGCCTTCCTTGGAGATATATATATATATATATATATATATATATATATATACCCAAATTTCTTGCAGTTTTTCTCTCAGCGAATGTAAATAATGTGTTTTCTTGGCTTGATCCACCACTCATTTAAAGATCTCTTCAGGGGAGTACTATGTCTGAATTATTCTGAGCACATCTTCTCTTGTGCAAGAAACACATAATCTGGAATATGAGTAAGCTAAAGTGCGTCAATTAAAAGTAGGCACACAGAAAGGAATGAGCACAGAGGGCACTAAATACCTTGGAAAAAAGCAAAAGTAAAAATATACAATTCTTCATGTATCTATCTATCATGTATGTATCTCTTATGTGACAGCTTGACTCTTTCTGTTGTGAAATTGATTTTGATTATCATTGTTCTTGAGAAGGAGAGAACAGGATATGTCATAGCTTTGCAGCTGTGGGAAAAGTCAAATTACT